CACCGTATCCACGTCTAAAACGTCACACTTCAGTCACCATCAAACACAAAGTAAAATAAGAACTGCATCATTTTTAAGACATGTTATATAAATATTGTGGCAAAGGCGATGACACTAGCATCTACAAGAACATACTGTGTACTCCTCAAGAAGCTGTACATACAAAATACCTAAGCCATACCTCTGCCTAGTTATTTGCTATAAAGTTTACAAATCCATCCTTGTGCTGTACTATACAGTTATATACACTGTACACAAACCTGTCTAATGCCTTCTGCTTAAATGTTTAATAGTTTTGTATGAATGTGTGAATTTAGGTAAAAGAAAAATATGCTGGAAATGATAGTAAAGGAACAGTAGACAACAAGTGTCCCAATTTAAAAACCAGTTTGATTATGATTATTATTATTATAATAAATAAGTGCGGTCAAGTAAGTAAGTGCTGTCATTTATATATGTATAAAATTTTTCAAAATCAGTATAACACATCAGTTTAATAAATAAGGTTAATAATAAAATTCAGCTCCGGCTGCTTTTCCCTCTGTAACAATCAGCATAACCAGTGGAAGACATTGACTCATCTCTGGACCATACCGGACACAAGCACCACTCATCAATCAAACCTCATCACAGAGCGTGGCATTACTGTATATACTGTACAGTACATTAGCTGTATACCAGCCAATGAAGATCTTCGGGAGCTCTTGATAATCACAAAGTTCAACTTTGAACCCAACTTTTCAACCCTGCCTAAATTTTAGAGTACTGTAGCATCCAGGTGTTCTGATTTACTAAAGGCTTCTCTAATAGGGAATCCTCAGAAGCACTAATGCTACCTCATGACAGAAGCAATGAGCTGTAAGGTGTGTAAGATGATTGACAGCTAATACTGCTGCTGCTCCACAGCGATTCCTCCGTTACAGTGTCTGTTCAGCCAAGAGCACATGAGAGATGAAAAGACTGCGAAGCGTGAAGCCACTGCACATTCACACGCTACACACACTTTTGGCTATTCTCATATCATTGTTTGCTGGGAGGTGAGAGCTGTGCGTAGGACCGCAGACGCCTCCGTCTGACAACTTCTTTAATCCTGCCAAGTAACACGCTTATCTCAAAGAAAGGAATAGTTCCCGCATTCATCATGTATTCACCCTCATGTCACTTTTTTCTTCTGTAGAACACTAAAGATCACTTAATGAATATCCGGTTTGGTAAATTCAATACAATGTCAGCAAATAGTGTCTGAGATGATCTGTCTGTTTTCTGTCTCTGTGTCTGCCTGATGATTTTGTACTCTACTGAATTTGGGTACAAACAAGCTGATATGTACAGTACCAGTACAGTAAAATTGTGGCAGCAGCCATTACTGTCCTGTGCATCGTCCAGGGTTTGACCTCCAGTCCAGTAGGTGGCAGAAATGCATTTTTGTTGTAACCATTACAATGTCAGAATAAGGTGGAGGCACAAAGAGCAATTGGGTGCCACAATATTACCGTGTGCCGTCCTGTTTTACTACATGAGGTCTGCATGAATTCACAGCCCTAATGTTCAGTTTGTATTATGACAATTATGACAGTTATGTCAAAACAATGCTGTCTATGGAGAAAAGCATATAACTGACTACCCCATATGGAGCTACAGTAGCATGTGTCTCATGAATGCATCATGTTTATCTATAATACACATGCACATATGGATCAGGGCAGGGTATTCTCTCCAAAGAGGCACGTGAAGCTGTGCCTCCTCATCTTCCTCAAAATTAAAATAACAATACAAAATAAGACAGCAGCAGAATAGGTTTCAGAGGTCTCCTTGTCTTGTTTTCTGAGCGCCTACTCAGGGGGGAACGCCAAATACAGCCAAAGGTTCACGTAAGAGGAGGTTGATAAACGTGTGAATGTCATAATGCTTGTCTCTCATGTTCATAATCGTCTCTAAATTGAGCTGAATGGGTCAGAGTGATGCTCAAAGCAAACTATGCAATTATCAGAATCAACTAATAAACAATCAATCACTCATTAAGGGAAGAAAACCTCTATTAACACAGAAGAAGACACATTGTATCACTTGTTGCTTTATTGTGTCATGTCTGATGAGGACAGTGTAATGGTCCAAAAAGAAACTGTTAATAATAATAATAGTTGAATAAGAGTTAATAGTAATAAAAGCTCAACAAAAGTATTTACTGTATTAAGTTAACTGAACATTTTTAATGCAAATTGAAAATATTTAAATCTTTATTCATTTTGTTCTTTGATTTTCTATTTCAATATGTTTAGTATTCTATTTTAGTATAAGCATAAAAATATTATAGTCCAGGCCATTATTTTTATTTATAGTAGCCCAATTTAATAGGATGTGCATTTCTAATTTTCAAGAATATTTGTAGTTATTCAACAGCATGACTTTATTTGACTCTTCGCTGTGCCGTCTGACCTTCTTTATCTGCTCACATTGTCTCACATTCATAAAAGAGACTTCCTCTCGATATTTATACGCCTCTCGCTGGCTTCTTCTAACACTGCACAGGCCATTTAAATGCTAAGTAGCCTGTGTCTTTCAGGCTATTTGATTATGGCCATACACTGGGTGGACGAGCATCCATCAAGACAGGATTTGCACTTGTGAAATTTAATCATAAATGTCTGCTTGCAAAATTCTTTCAAATAAATCTATTCAACTTGGGTCTGCAGCTATTATGTTGAGTGGAGAGCTGGGCTCGTACAGAAATACACCAACTCGTGCCAATTTATCTTTACACAAACAGCTCTTTCTGCCATCCACAATGAGCTCAACGCCTCTAGTATACGTCTCCTAGCTAAAAAGCGTCTTCTTAATGACAGCTTAATTTGAAATAAAATGTTGAGGAATGCGTGTGAATTGTCACCCGTTTACACGGTAATAAAACTCATCTCCACTTGGTGTTTCGTCCTGGCTGCCAGATACAACGAGCTCCATTGAAGACAGCAGATTAGAATTGCTTCCATGGCAAACATGAGAGCACTTTTTTCCTCTGAGAGGCCAAGGGAGCTGACGGTGATAGATGGTGGTGGCAGAGGCACGTGGGGATTGGCACTGTCATCTGTTTTCATTTAGCCAGAGTTTCACAGCACTGTTGCATGCAGAGCGTGTGAAGATGCTCTCCTGTAAACGCAGAGGGTTCGTTCACTCACGCTTTCGCCGGTCTCAGGCTTTATGAATGCTGGATTCACCTCCATACGTTCACTCCTGTCATCCCTTACTAAGCCTCATGTCATTCCTACCCCTCATACTATTTTCTTACTCCAGTGAGCTTTGTGTGGGGAACAGACTGAAATGCAAATGACTGAAGAAAAAAAAAAAAAAAATGATGCCAGAATTTTCAGAATTTGGGGGTAAACTGTTATGCTTTAAACCTGTGCCGTATTGTCCATTAAAACCATTGTTAAATGCATTAACCATTTGTTACTTTGACATTAATTATGGAGGCAGTACAGCAACTATATTAAACATACTACATATGATGAATTACCACACATCCTAACACATGACACTGACTTGATACAGACTACAGAAATAGCTTCCATATCTACCGTGTCAGTAAACAAGAGTGCAATTAAAGAGAAATTACAACGGCTACAGGCCACAGGATTCACCATCATGCATTTGCAGCCGGAATAATCAAGCACTGCTACTGTACATCAGAGAACATCCATTAGCCCTGCTCTCACTTCAGACTTCAGCTCTTTACAACACAGAATTACGCAGTGGAATAAACTCATTGATAGAGTTGCTTTTCTGTGTTGTACATCAAGCATAGAGCCAAGGTGGTTTGTAGACCTCTGCCAGATTTAAGTCTATCAACATTACAGGAACATAGAAATAGATCTAGTGCTGCAACAGATGGTCAAACTGCCAGAGAGATGCTTTCAAAATGTGTATGAGGCAGGCATTAAATATTGAAATCCAGAGCCACTATTCTAAACAACTAATGCAAGCTAAAGGGTAAAGTACGATGCACACTGCAGTGTGTGTGTGAGTGTGTGAGAGTGTGTGAGAGTGTGTGTGTGTG